GAAAATTTCCAAAAAATTCCCTGAGAATGGCCAAAATTCGAAACTTTCAGCCCAACTTTCTTTGACTTAGGGCTACAGAAAACAAAAACCGCCGCTTTCCCATCTCATTCCGCCGCGAAAATATGACAGTTTTTAGGAAAAATTGCACAATTGGCATCGGTGGCGCTCCAGAAAAAACCGCGATTTGGTTTGAAAAATTCGGGAAAATTAACAATTTTCCTCGAGTTTTCCCTTGAAAAATTCCCACTTTTTTCTAGTTCAAACCCGAGCAAAGCAAACACGCTAAAATTGCTCCACAAAAACAGGATTAGTCTAAGTCAATCTGGCTGATGGCAATGCCCTGATGATGGCAACAATTCGAAACGTTCAGCACAGTTCAGCCTGGACTTTTCCCTGCCAAACGCAAACATCGGCAACGTCTCAGTCCCTCTCGGGCCATCATCAATGATTCACAGCAAAAGTGCCCAACTGGAAAATTCCTTCAAGCAGCTCTGAGGATGACGGAAATTTCGAAACTTTCCCCAACTCGATTTTTCAAAAAAAAACCTGAGTTTTTGGGGATTTTTCAGCCAACTTCACTCCGAGGCGTTCGCTTGGGGGCTCCGCCTGTGCCGCCCGAAGTATGACAATTAATTTCGCAAAAACCGAAACAGATAGAGCCGCGCTCGTTACGCCCCTGGATAGAGCAAAATTTGCTCTATAAATGCCAATTTTTCCATTCCCGCAGCTCCAGTTGCGCATTTTTTATGACAATTTGAGTCTGAGAGGTTCGCTTCAGGGCGCTGTCTGTGCCGAGTACACTTTGAGCATTAATTTCCCCTCAACCAACAGCGATAGAGACACGCAGGCTACGCCACTGGATAGAGCAACGTTGGCTCTATTCCAGCCCTATTTGCTCAATCAACTTACCGAGCACAAGCCAAAAGCATCCCTGTGAAGAAACAGCTTTGGCAGGCTGTACGGAGGGCTGACGTGGTCGCAAAGAAACAGCTTTTGCAGGCTGTACGGAGGGCTGACGGGGTCGCGAAGCGACCTGAGCATACTCAGATCTTCTGCGCGGCTCCTGATCTGGTTCTTCACACTGATCGGAGTCATCGGAACCCGATTCTGAGCCCTCAGGAGTCTCACCTTGGCGATGCAACCTTGCCCTTGGGGATCCGGACAACTCGCGCAGGTTCCTGCAAAACCACTGGCTCAGAACAGAGCTGAGCAGGCTCAGAACGCACTTACGGTGAACGGTCAGAAGGAAGCGCACTCTCCATCAACGGCACGGGGCTCATGTTCTCGTCCCTGTAGTCTCTGACGCTTCTGCGGCAGTGGGGCTCACGATTTGGCGTGCTTTGGGCCTTCGGTTTGGTGCCGTGCTGGAAAAGCCTTTGAGTGAGTGCCTGATTGTCTACTCGGGGCGCTGGAAGCCCCCTGAAAGGCTCAAATGCATCTGAACCATTCGGGGGGCCTCCGGCAGGAGACGCGCAACCCCGCAGGGTTCGGGGACGCTTCAATCAAACCTGCACGGTGTTCCAATGGCTGGGTGGTTTTTGGCCCCAAAATCCTCACTTTTCGGTACAAAAACCCCCAAAAAACACTGCAGCTTCGCGATTCAACTCGATCAGACTCACCATTGCAACAGCAGCTCTTCTAGGGGGGTTTTTCACACAGAAACCACAGATGGCGACTACACTGGCATGTTTTTCGTGGCCCCCACAAAGAAAGTTATTTAAAAAACGGCAAATAAACGACTTTTAAGTTCGACAAACAAACATTGAAGCCGCACTGTCAGAAGTGACGGCCTGGAGTGAGGTTAGATGGGGATGTGCGTGCGAGCGAGAGCGCCGATGTTGGACGGAATGGCGGCACAAACATTTGGAAATTTTCTGGGTTTTTATTTTGAGAAATATGCAGGCGAAAATTATCCAGGAAAAATTGCAGCGAGTGAGTTTCTTGTTTTTTCGAAGAAAATTTCAGATTTAAAAAAATCACATTTAAAAAAAAAAAAATTTAAACCGCTCGAAAAAAATGCAATTTTTGGAAAAAAATGCGGATTGTCCATTGAATATTGCCAGAAAAAAATTATAAACGACACAGAGCGCCACATTTGCGCTAAATTTGCTGCTAAAAAACGCACCAAGTTTCAAAATTTCCAAAAAATTTCTTGAGAATCCCCAAAATTCGAAACTTTCAGAACAATTTGTTTCAACTTTTGCCTACAAAATCCAAAAGTTGACCACTTCCTAACTCATCGGGAAAGAAAAAAAACTACTTTTTTTAAGGAAAAGTGCAAAATTTAATTTAAGTGTCCTTTGAAAAAAACGAGCCAAGTTTGAAAATTTCCACAAAATTCCTTGAGAATGACCAAAACTCGAAACTTCCAGTACATTTTGCTTCAACCTTTGCCGACAAAATCCAAAAGTCGACCACTTCCTAACTCTTCCCAAAACAACAAAATCTTGTTTCAAAGAAAAAATGCAAAATTTGCTTGGAATGTCCCTGGAAAAAAACGCACCAAGTTTGAAAATTTCCAAAAAATTCCTTGAGAATGACCAAAATTCGAAACTTTCAGTACAATTTGTTTCAACTTTTGCCTACAGAATCCCAAAGTCGACCACTTCCTAACTCATCCCAAAACAAACAAAAAAACATTTTTTAAAGGAAAAGTGCAGAATTTGCTAGGAATATCCCTGGAAAAAAACGCGTCAAGTTTGAAAATTTCAAAAAAATTTCCTTGAGAATGGCCAAAATTCGAAACTTTCAGTACAATTTGTTTCAACTTTTGCCTACAAAATAAAAAAGGCGGCCACTTCCTCACTCATCCCAAAACAAACAAAACTATTTTTTTAAAGAAAAAGTGCAAAATTTGCTTGAAATGTCACTGGAAAAAAACGCGCAAAGTTTGAAAATTTCCAAAAAATTCCTTAAGAATGGCCAAAATTCGAAACTTTCAGTACAATTTGCATCAACCTTTGCCGACAAAATCCAAAAGTCGACCACTTCCTAACTCATCGGAAAACAAAGAAATCTTTTTTCAAAGAAAAAGTGCAAAATTTGCTTGGAATATCCCTGGAAAAAAACGCGCCAAGTTTGAAAATTTCCGAAAAATTTCCTGAGAATGGCCAAAATTCGAAACTCAGTACAATTTGTTTCACCTTTTGCCTACAAAATCCCAAAGTCGGCTACTTCCTAACTCATCCCAAGACAAAAAAAATGTTTTTTTAAAGAAAAAGTGTAAAATTTGCTTTGAATGTCCCTTGAAAAAAACGCGCCAAGTTTGAAAATTTCTCAACGGCAGAGACGAGAAGAAAAGAAGTTTTAAACATTTTTAGCGAAAAAAGGTTTTTTGCACTCATAAATCCACATTACGACTGTTAGATTTCTAGCAAAAAATCAACATTAAGCTGATTTCTCAACGGCATTGACCAGAACAGAAATTCTGTACTTTTTTTGGGAAAAAAAAAATATATGTTTTTTATACTTTTGAATCCACAACTGCCAGATTTTCAGCCAAAAATCCACATTAAGCTGATTTCTCAACGGCAGAGACGAGAAGAAAAGAAGTTTTAAACATTTTTAGCAAAAAAAGGTTTTTTTGTACTCATGAATCCACATTACGACTGTTAGATTTCTAGCAAAAAATCAAATTTAAGCTACTTTCTTAACGGCAATGACCCGAAATGAAATTTTGTACTTTTTTGGCAAAAAAAACTGTTTTTTATACGTTTGAATCCACATTACAACTGCCAGATTTCGAGCCAAAAATCGACATTAAGCTGATTTCTCAACGGCAGAGACGAAAAGAAAAGGAGTTTAGTACATATTTGCAAAACAAGGTTTTTATCCTTATGATTCCACATTACAACTGTCAGATTTCTGGCAAAAAATCCACATTAAGCTGGTTTATCAACCGCAAGCACGCGTAGGAAAAAAGTTTAGTAAATTTTTGTAAAAAAAGTTTTTTATCCTCATGATTCCACATTACAACTGTCTGATTTCTAGCAAAAAATCCACATTCAGCTGGTTTATCAACCGCAAGCACGCGTAGAAAAAATGTTAGTACATTTTTGCTAAAAAAAGTTTTTATCCTTATGATTCCACATTACAACTGTCTGATTTCTAGCAAAAAATCCACATTCAGCTGGTTTATCAACGGCAAGGACGAGTGGGAAAGGAGTTTAGTACATTTTTTCTAAAATAAATTTTTTATCCTCATGATTCCACATAACAACTGTCTGATTTCCAGCAAAAAATCCACATGAAGCTGGTTTATCAACCGTACGGGCGCGTAGGAAAGGAGTGTAGTACATTATKGCTAAAAAAAGTTTTTATCCTCACGATTCCACATTACAACTGTCTGATTTCTAGCAAAAAATCCACATTCAGCTGGTTTATCAACGGCAAGGACGAGTAGGAAAGAAGTTTAGTACATTTTTTCCAAAAAAAGTTTTTTATCCTCATGATTCCACATAACAACTGTCTGATTGCCAGCAAAAAATCCACATGAAGCTGGTTTATCAACCGTACGGACACGTAGGAAAGGAGTGTAGTACATTATTGCTAAAAAAAGTTTTTATCCTCATGATTCCACATTACAACTGTCAGATTTCTGGCAAAAAATCCACATTAAGCTGGTTTATCAGCGGCAATAACGAGAAAAGAAATGCTGTATTTTGTTGGCAAAAGCAATTTTTTTTCTACCTTTGAATCCACATTACAAGTAACAACTGGCCTAGGAAAAATCCACATGAAATGCCTGCTGATGGCAAACACTCGCTTGCGACATGGGGGTTGAAAAAAATACAGAAAAATCGGCAAAAAACTGCCCGTCAACACGCTGGGGCGCACACTGCCCCACGATGGCGGAGAAATTAACAAAAATCCCTCAAACGCGCCCACCTCAAGACTGGCGCGCCGTTGCCAGTTCGGCGCGCACCTGGACCCTCGACTGTCAGCTGTCGGAAATCTGCCCAAACAAATGACAACCTGTCACCGATTTTGCACGCTAATAGTGAGGTTGGAACGCGTCCAGTTGCAAACCAGTGGAGATTTCCCTTAAAGTGGCCGATTTTATGCGCCCCCTTGCACGTGGAGCAACCGAACAGCGATGGGAACGTGCGGCGACTACATCGAGCGGCTTTTCCCCGCAATCGATGCCGATCTGAAGCAGTACGTGGAAAGTGAGCGAACCCATCCGGGCCTGGACGATCCCCAGACGTCCCCCATCTACTCCCGTATGTTTCAGGCGTCCTGGCGACCAGCGCGGACGAATTCGAGGACAGCGAAGAAGTGTACGACGCGATCGGGGCCGTCCTGCACGAAGTGTCCGACAAGACCGAGGCGGACATAAAGTGAGTCGGTTTGGGGGGCTCGAGCGGCTTGAGGCAGCGCCACTGTTTGCAGGCACATTTGCGACGAGCTGCTGAACATGCTGCGACCGGGGAAAACGACGCAAAGCAACCGCACGCTCAAGATCCTGGACGGGCCGATTCATCTGGGGTCGATGGCCGAAACGCAGGACACCACGGTGGAGGAGATCAAGAGCATTTGGGTGGCGCAGCGCGACGACTCGCTGGTAGGTTTGGGGCCGCCGCTCGCCCCCTTGTTTCGGCTAATTTGAGCACCGCCGTGCAGAAGGTGGACGCCCGGAAGCTGGAAAAGGCGCAGGCCAAGCTGCAGGAGAAGCAGGAGAAGCGGGGCAAGGAGGTGAAAATGGTGGTGGCGCCCAAGCTGCAGACCGCCACCGCCTCGCAGGTGATCAACAAGAAGGAGAGCAAGCTGGAGGCGAAAGGGACCAATCGGGCGCAGGACATTCGGATCGAGAACTTCGATATCGCCTACGGCGACCGGTAGGAGCCCCCCATTTTCCCAGTTTTGCCCAACAACTCGTCAGCAATCTTCTTTTGCAGGGTGCTGCTGCAGGGGGCGGACGTGACGTTGGCCTTCGGCCGCCGGTACGGCCTGGTGGGGCGCAACGGCCTGGGCAAAAGTACGCTGCTGAGAATGATTTCTTCGGGCAACCTGAAGATTCCCTCGCACATTTCCATTCTCCATGTGGAACAGGAGGTGGTGGGGGACGAGACGCTGGCCTTGGACAGTGTGCTGGAGTGTGACGCTGTGCGCCAGGGGCTGCTGGAGCAGGAGAAGCTGGTCAGCGCCGCTATTAATTCCGGGTGAGTCTCTCGAGCAGGCAACAGCTGGCGCAAACCGATTTTCAAAAATTMATCGCRCAAAAACCAAGAAGGCCATGTCTAAATGTYCGCAAAGTTTCGTYTGTCTGCCATCATCAGGCTCTGAATGGGAATTTTTCAAAGTTCAGTCACWCAAGCAGGCAACAGCTGGCGCAMACCGATTTTCAAAAATTCATCGCGCAAAAACCAAGAAATCCAGAAATTTGCGGTTGAGCGTGTCGGATGGAGCGAAGCCACTTCCATGGACGAGCAAAGTTTCGATTTCGTGTTTCCATCATCAGGGCCGTGATGAGAATTTTTCAAATTGCACTCGCTCTTAGAGGCAACAGTCGATTCCAACCGACTTCTTAACACAAATTGCGCCAAAACCGAGAAAGATGGAAACTTGCGACTGATTGCGGGGAAGAGAGAGAAGACAGTTCAATGGACGTGGGACGTTTCGTCTGTCTGCCATCATCGGGCTCTGAATGGGAATTTTTCAAAGTTGAGTCTCCCAAGCAGGCAACAGCTGGCGCAAACCGATTTTCAAAAATTCATCGCGCAAAAACCAAGAAAGCCAGAAATTTGCGGTTGAGCGTGTCAGATGGAGCGAAGCCACTTCTATGGCCGAGCAAAGTTTCGGTTTTGTGTTTCCATCATCAGGGCCGTGATGAGAATTTTTCAAATTGCACTCGCCCTTAGAGGCAACAGTCGATTCCAACTGACGTCTAAACACAAATTGCGCCAAAACCGAGAAAGATGGAAACTTGCCACTGATTGCGGGGAAGAGAGAGAAGCCAGTACAATGGACGTGGGACGTTTCGTCTGTCTGCCATCATCGGGCTCTGAATGGGAATTTTCCGAAGTTGAGTCTCTCAAGCAGGCAACAGCTGGCGCACATCGATTTTCAAAAATTCATCGCGCAAAAACCAAGAAATCCAGAAATTTGCGGTTGAGCGTGTCGGATGGAGCGAAGCCACTTCTATGGACGAGCAAAGTTTCGATTTCGCGTTTCCATCATCAGGGCCGTGATGAGAATTTTTCAAATTGCACTCGCTCTTAGAGGCAACAGTCGATTCCAACTGACGTCTAAACACAAATTGCGCCAAAACCGAGACAGATGGAAACTTGCCACTGATTGCGGGGAAGAGAGAGAAGACAGTTCAATGGATGTGGGACGTTTCGTCTGTCTGCCACCATCAGGCTCTGAATGGGAATTTTTCAAAGTTGAGTATCTGATGCAGGCAACAGTTGGCGCAAACCGAAAAAATTCCCATTCAGCGTCTGATGATGGCAGACTGACGAAACGCCACACGTCCACTGAACTGTCTTCTCTCTCTTCCCCACAATCAGTCGCAAGTTTCCATCTTTCTCGGTTTTGGCGCAATTTGTGTTTAGAAGTCAGTTGGAATCGACTGTTGCCTCTAAGGGCGAGTGCAATTTGAAAAATTCCCATCACGGCCCTGATGATGGAAACACGAAATCGAAACTTTGCTCGTCCATAGAAGTGGCTTCGCTCCATCCGACACGCTCAACCGCAAATTTCTGGCTTTCTTGGTTTTTGCGCGATGAATTTTTGAAAATCGGTGTGCGCCAGCTGTTGCCTGCTTGAGTGACTGAACTTTGAAAAATTCCCATTCAGAGCCTGATGATGGCAGACAGACGAAACTTTGCGAACATTTAGACATGGCCTTCTTGGTTTTTGCGCGATGAATTTTTGAAAATCGGTTTGCGCCAGCTGTTGCCTGCTTGGGAGACTCAACTTTGAAAAATTCCCATTCAGAGCCCGATGATGGCAGACAGACGAAACGTCCCACGTCCATTGAACTGTCTTCTCTCTCTTCCCCACAATCAGTCGCAAGTTTCCATCTTTCTCGGTTTTGGCGCAATTTGTGTTTAGACGTCAGTTCGAATCGACTGTTGCCTCTTAGAGCGAGTGCAATTTGAAAAATTCTCATCACGGCCCTGATGATGCAAACACAAAATCGAAACTTTTCTCGTCCATAGAAGTGGCTTCGCTCCATCTGACGCGCTCAACCGCAAATTTCTGGCTTTCTTGGTTTTTGCTCGATTAATTTTTGAAAATCGGTGTGCGCCAGCTGTTGCCTGCTTGAATGACTCAACTTTGAAAAATTCCCTTTCAGAGCCTGATGGTGGCAGACAAACGAAACTTTGCCAACATTTAGACCTGGCCTTTAACAGCCCGGGTTTCTAACCGTTTTCGTTTCCAAGCTGTCGTTTGTCGGAAAAAAATTAATGCGTTTTTCTTGCGTTTTTGCAGATCCACAGACCCCGACTTGAACACGCAACTATCGGAGGTTTACGCCCAGTTGCAGAACATCGAGGCCGATAAGGCGCCCGCACGGGCCTCAATCATTCTGGCCGGGCTCGGGTTCACCTCGCAAATGCAGCAGAACGCCACCAAGACGTTTTCGGGCGGCTGGAGGATGCGGCTTGCGCTTGCACGCGCCCTCTTTTCCAGGTGAGTGCTGCTTTTCTCCCTTTCTTCTTCATGGCAAAACGCGCGTTGTTTGTCCAGTTGGCGGCCTTAAATTGCTGTTTTCCAACCGCTTGTTGATGGGAAGAGCGTGGAGCGTCTCTGTGCTAAACCGTGCCAATGTTGGCGCATTCGCCATTTAGTCTGTGATTAGTTCACTTGGGGGGATTGCGGGGTTTCTCGTCCTCTCTGCAAGTCGAACATTCGCCATTTAGTCAATGTTGTCGTCGTTTCGCCGGTTTTCGGGCAAATAACTCAGATTATTCGGTAAATGGGATTTTTTCCTTCAATGTTTGTAGTGCAATTTGCGGTTTGTTTGTGGTACTTCAGCTGGGTTTGGCCGGTTTTTCCCCATGCTCCCGGGAATATTGAGCCTCACACAAGGTTTTTTCGTTTTCAGTTCCATTTTTGCTGCTCCTCTAGTCAATCACTTTGTTTTTCTTAGTCGGAACGTTCGACAATTTTTTTCTCCCCAATCCAGCTTGAGTAGACCCGTGCGCGTACCGCCACTGGATAGAGGAGGGTTTGGTCTATAACGGACATTTTTTTCAGTTTCGCAGCTGAATTCTGTGATTTTTGCCCTCAATTTCAGTCTGAAGCGTTTGTTGCGAGGCCTTGTGTGTGTCGACTGAAGTTTCCTCAATTTATTTYTCAAAAACSCCGCGAGTKTGAATAATRRGCGTTACGCCACTGGATAGAGSAGGGTTTGGTCTATAAMGGACMTTTTTTTCAGTTCCTTAGCTGAATTCTGTGATTTTTGCCCTCAATTTCAGTCTGAAGTGTTTGTTGCGAGGCCTTGTGTGTCTCGACTGAAGTTTCCTCAATTTATTTCTCAAAAACGCCGCCAGTGTAAATAATGGGCGTTACGCCACTGGATAGAGGAGGGTTTGCTCTAATTGGGCACAGTTTTTCATTCTCCCAGCTCAATTGGCTGATTTTTTATGAAAGTTTGAGGCTAAGGCGTGCGTCGTTTGCTCTATACACGCGCTTAGTGWGAAAATTTATCAAAAATATCCTGAGAATGGCCAAAATTCGAAACTTTCAGGTAAATTTGCTTTATCTTTTTCCGACTAGACTCAAAAGTCGGCCACTTCCTAACTCGTCTCAAAACAAGAAAATGTATTTTCAAAGAAAAACTGCAAAATTTGCTCGAATGTCCCTTGAARAACATTCCGAAACYGTGCGTCAAGAGCAGCAAAAAATCCCCATTTTTAGGATAAACCGAAATTTGGTCAACAACACCGCATYCGYCATTGGGTCATTTTAGTAAATCCGCCATTTTCACTTTCAATTCGACGTGCAAATGCACCAACGGCCTGATGATGCCAAATGTATCGAAACTATTGCTTAAGTCGATCAGGAATCTTCGATCGCAGAAAGATTCAAAAGATAATTTTTTTGCTTTTAACTTTAACTTAATCAGTTTTATCAAAATTGGGATTTCTTACGCACGTTGTTAACAACGGCGCATCCGCCATTGGGTCCACTGTGCAAAGAACATGGTCACTGTCAAGTTCAACAGGAATCTGATGGGTCTAAATGATCCGAAACGGTGCGTTTAGCAGTGTTGTGTACTTTAAATCCTTCACAGTTCGCTAATGAAAAAGGCGCATTCGCCATTTCGTCAGTTTTCGTCGGCCACAATGCATGTCTGAGTTGAACCCCGATGGGGGCCAGTGTTGTGTGCTTTAAATCCTTCATAGTTCGCTATTGGAAGGTTTTAGATCGGGATTTGCCTTCTCTATTGGTACGGTTAATGGTTTTTGAAAAAAGGCGCATTCGCCATTCCGTCARTTTACGTCGGTCTCAACGCATTTCTSAGTTGAACCCCGRWKGGGTCKCMAGTKTTGCGACYTTAAATCCTTCACAGTTCGCTATTGRAAGGTTTTMGAWCRGRAYTTGSCTTMTYTATTGGCGSGGTTAAYGKTTTTTGGAAAAAAAAAGGMGSATTCGCCATTTCGTCAGTTTACGTCGGTCTCAACGCATTTTCGAGTTGAACCCCGGAGGGGTCGCCAGTGTTGCGACTTTAAATCCTTCACAGTTCGCTATTGAAAGGTATTCGAACGGCGCCTTATCTGTTGGCGCGGTTAATGTTTTTTGAAAAAAAAGGCGCACTCGCCATTTCGTCGGTTTACGTCGGTCTCAACGCATTTCTGAGTTGAACCCCGATTGGGTCTCAAGTGTTGCAACTGTAAATCCTTCACAATTCGCTATTGGAAGGTTTTAGATGGAGATTTGCCTTCTCTATTTGCGGGGTTAATCTTTTTTGGGGAAAAAAGGCGCATTCGCCTTTTCGTCAGTTTGCGTCGTTCACAACACATCTTTGAGGTGGTGAACCCCGAAAGGGGCGCCAGTGTTGCGACTTTAGATCCTTCATAGTGCGCTATTGGAAGGTTTTAGATCGGGATTTTCCTTCTCTATTGGAGTGGTCAGTGTTCATTGGAAAAAGGCGCATTCGCCATTTCGTCAGATTAAATCGGTCACAACGCATTTCTGAGGTAAACCCCGAAGGGGGCGCCAGTGTTGCGACTTTAAATCCTTCATAGTGGGCTTTTGGACGGTTTTAAATCGGGATTTTCCTTCTCTATTGACGCGGTTAATGTTTATTGGGAAAATGCGCATTCGCCATTTCGTCAGTTTAGGTCGGTCACAACGCATTTCTGAGTTGAACCGCGATGGTGGCAGTGTTGCATACTTTAAATCATTTACAGTACGCTATTGGACCGTTCTAGATCGGGACTTGCCCTTTCTATTGGCGCGGTTAAGGTTATTTGAACAATGGGCGCATTCGCCATTCTGTCCACTCACCTGTATTCCGGTTGCAGACCGGACCTGCTGCTGCTGGACGAGCCCACCAACATGTTGGACATCAAGGCGATCATCTGGCTGGAAAACTACCTGCAGAACTGGCCGACCACGTTGTTGGTCGTGTCGCACGACCGCAACTTCCTGGACAGCGTCCCGACCGACATTCTCTACCTGCACTCGCAGCGGCTCGAGCCCTATCGGGGCAACTACGAGCAGTTCGACCGCACCAAAACCGAAAAACTGAAGAACCAGCAGCGCGAGTACGACGCTCAGCTGCAGCAGCGCCAGCATGTGCAGGAGTTCATCGATCGGTTCGCTTTCCCGCTACTGATTTTGGCTGCTTTCAACCGCTGATTGTTTGCAGGTTCCGCTACAACGCCAATAGGGCGGCGCTGGTGCAGTCCAAGATCAAAATGCTGGAAAAAATGTAAGTTTGTGCGACAGTAAAGCCGGGATAAAAGTGGTGGTTTGGCAACCTACGGGCGGCTTGCAGGCCGGAACTGAAGCCGATCGTCAAGGAGACGGAGGTGGTGCTGCGCCTGCCCGACACCGAGCCGCTCTCCCCCCCCATTCTCCAGCTGAACGAGGCCCTCTTCTGGTACCAGAGGGGGCGCGTGATCTTCTCCAACGTCAACCTGGGCGCCACGATGGAGTCGCGCATCTGCATAGTGGGCGACAACGGCGCCGGCAAAACCACCCTCTTGAAGATCATCATGGGGCTGCTGACGCCCTCTGCCGGCACGCGGCACGTGCACCGCAACCTCAAGTTCGGCTACTTCAGTCAGCATCACGTCGACCAGCTCGACATGAACGTCAACTCCGTGGAGTTGCTGCAGCAACAGTACCCAGGTGAGTGGCCGCGCCGCCGCCAGATGGCGGCCGGAGCGGGTGTAGCGCTGTGACGTCACGGGCTGAGGCTGCGCATTTGAAGGCAAGGCCATCGAGGAGTACCGCAGACAGTTGGGCAGTTTTGGGGTGTCCGGCGATCTGGCGTTGCAGACGGTGTCCAGTCTGTCCGGGGGACAGAAATCGCGCGTGGCCTTCGCCAGCATGTGCCTGGGCCGGCCGAACTTCCTGGTGCTGGACGAGCCGACCAATCACTTGGACATTGAAACCATCGAGGCCTTGGGCAAGGCCATCAACAAGTACACGGTGAGTGGGGAAAGTTGGGGGTTTTCTGGAGGTTTTTTTTTTTATTTTTTATGGGGGGGTTGAAGGGTGGAGTGATTCTGGTGTCGCACGACGAGCGGCTGATTCGGATGGTGACGAACGAGTTGTGGCACTGCAGCGAGGGCACCGTGCGCAGCATAGAGGGCGGGTTTGATGAGTACCGGAAGATCGTCGAGATGGAGCTGGAGGCGGCGCAAGCCAAGTAAGAGGCAGTTGGTGGCCGGACTGGACAGAGTGGCGGATGCGCGTTGGAGCGCTGCGTCTTGCGCCGCAGCGCTCGACACTGTGATTTGCGTGCTACTAGCGTGTTAAGGAAGCGGCGCTTGCCCTTGCGTCACTGGGTGATGTACGTTTGTTTCAGTTTTTATATATTAAAATTTTTAAACATGTTTTTTGCGTTTTTTTGGGGGTGTTTTTGACTCAAAAAGTGAAGCGGCTTTTGACCTGATTTTAAAAATAGAGTTTTTTGCAAAGGTGCATCATGCGGAAAATAGGCGATCTTTTCTACAGGTTTGGCGTCTTTTTAACCGATTTTAATTTCGAAAAATATCCATTTTAGGGAATCATTAAATTTTCTTGGAAATGACAGAAAAAAATGTATGTATTTTGTTTTTAAAGGGATGTTTTTGAATCAAGCTTTAAAGGAGAAAATGATGCGGTTTTTGACACTGCAAAAAAAACAGAGTTTTGTTGAAATTTCGATGTTTTTTT